CAGAGGAGTAAGTGAAATGATGGTAACCTCCTTGGAGAGACAGTGAAGTCTTGGGTGAAGTTGGACAGGATGAGGCTTGAATCGGAGAGGGTAACAGAAAGCAGGCTTTCAGTGAAACCCATTTGGAAGCAGAATGGGCAGCCTGCTCTTACCACACTCTCCACCCCCACGCCGCCCAGCTGATCTGGGCAGCACTGAGTTTCCTCTGCTGGAGGTGCTGGGATAGAGGCTGCACATCCTCTCATAGAGGGCGCATGATAGAAATCTGTGGCAGGTGGGGGTGGATGGGATAGAAGCCATGGATATGCTTTTGAGCTGACTTGAGGGTGAGGGCGAGGTGTGGTAAGCTGGGCGCAGAAGGCAAGCCCTCAAGGCCAGGAGTGTGAAGCCTATGGGTGGGTCCAGGGTTGCTTCTGCCAGTGAGGGGCATGGTAGCTTAACTGAAAGAAAGTAATTGCATTGGGAGAACTCAGTCATGAGAACTTGTTTTCTTTCATTTCAACTTAATGTCATCTTTGGTGAGTATGAAATATGGCATGAGGTTTCTCTGCTGTGAGCCAGATATGCCATGCCTTACTTTCCAGGTGTTTTTTGTAAATATTTCCCCCATTACCTCTGTGCTCTCCACAAGCGCCTCCTCAAGCCCTCATACTGCCCTCTGCCCCTCACCTAGGGCATGAGCCATGGAATTGGCCGTAGGGCAGCAGGAACCTGTTGTTTCAGAAGTCGGTGACCTTCGAGGACGTGGCTGTGTACTTCACCCAGACAGAGTGGGACAGCCTGTCCACTGCACAGAGGGCCCTGTACAGGGATGTGATGCTGGAGAATTATGGGAATGTGGCTTCCCTGGGTAAGCACTTTCTCCCCCCGGGGCTCAGACTGCTTATTAGGGTTTCCTGGCTTCCTTTCCCTTTGCTGGTTGCAAGGGGGCTTCTGGTAATCCTTTGCAGAGTGGGAACCTCAGGAGCTGATTCCTAATCCCCTAGACCCAGGGGTTGCTGGGAAGGATGAACCCTAAGCCCTTTGGGGGCCAGTATAGGACTCTCCTGGGACTGGCATGCACTCTTGATTCACCCTATAGGCCGTTCTGGATACAGAGAGGAAAAAAAGTAACTTCCTGTTCTGCGGTATTACCTTCAGGTTCCCCCTCACCCAACCTGCATCTCTTGAGTCTTTCTAGGAATCTCAGTGTACTTGGAATAGTATTTAGGCCGTGGTCAAAAAATGGTATCTGTGCCTTTAGGCAGAATATCTTTATTTGCCCTGCATGAAGTATCTCAGTCTGGCCCTGCCCAAATCCTCCCACATCTTCTCAAGCTTCTGCCTCCCACCCCACCCTATACATGCACCTTCCTACCCACTCACGCCACCCCCTTTCCCATAGTTCTTTGGCACAGGACCTACCCCTAGGGCTCTTTCCTTCTTTCCCCATTACTGACACAATCTGAGAAATCAGGTTTAGGAAATCAGCTGTGGGAGATTATTCACCTGCCTTTCCTTTTTTCTTTCCCTGAAACAGGATTTCCGCTTCTCAAACCTGCTGTGATCTCACAACTGGAGGGAGGAGGTGAGCTTGAGGGCCCATCTCCACTGGCCTCTGGAGCAGGCACAGGCCCCCAGGGCCTCTGGACTGGTAAGGGAGGCACTCATTGCCCTTATGCTGGAAAGTAGTTTAACCCTTTAGGAAGAAAGTCAGCTTCAGCAATGTAGAAGCATGCCATGTTTATTGGCCAAGTGTACAGAATAACATTTAAATAAATTTTGATTTCTAGAGATAGGAACATTTGAGACCTTTCTGTTTTCGTAGGTTGCTATTTCTTTATAATTCCAAGAACATCTTTTTTTTTGAATGCTTCATTCTAATTCTTTTCAATCCTAATTTTGTTCTACCTTTCTGAAACAAAAAGATTCAGTACTTCTTTGGGTCCTTGATATTTTCTATGCACTATCCACTTAACATGAAGGGTACAGAATTAAGTCTTTCAACGTAGGCTTTGGAGTAGACTTTCTCAGATCCAGTCCTAACTGCTACTTCCTAGTTGTGTGACTTTGAGCAGGTCAGTTATTTGCATTCTCTAATAGTATTCTCACTCTTGAAGATGGAGTAGTAATTATAAAATGAGGTAATAGTCCTGTGGATTGTGGATTGGTGATAAAATGAAAGAACATGTGCCAAGCCCGTAACTGATATAGTGTGTGCTCAGTTAAATTTTGTTTTATTATTTACTAATGTATTTTAGGAGAAAGCTGTATACAATAAGCTGTAGGAAGTAAGTTGGGAGGAAGTACTGCTATCAGTTTGACATTTCTCAAAAGAAGAATGAATGCATCTCCTGGGCATCTTGCATATGTGCAGGTTGTTATTCAGTTAGTTTGGGGCAGGGCCAAGATTCTCTGTTGAAGTAATGAGGTTCTCATGGGCTCACACAGAGTAGCTGCCAGGTGATTTCCCATTTCTCATGAGGCCTAGCTTTAATTCCTGCCTTTGGGGTCCATAAGATACTCTTGCATCCTTTTGATAAATCTTTTTTTTTTTTTAAAAAGGTGGTTTCATTGGATTTTTGTTCCTTGTGATTGTACAACCAGATGTTTACTGACCAAGGAAGACATATTTTGGAAATGAAATGGAGAGTTTAAAGTGTTTGACCAAACAGAGGGGCAAGTCAGTGATGTTGTGGAGATTCTCAGTCAGAGAAGTCTAGATTTCATTCTGTAGGCAGCCCACAGTCCTGAAGTCTTTGAACAACCCATCATGATGTCAGCAGAGGATAGAAACATTCATCTCATCAGTGTATATAGGTTAATTGGGATAAGGAACCAAATGGGTTCTAGGCAGGCAGAAGGGTAAATCATAGGGCACAAGACCTATGTCAGCAGAGTTGATTTCTTTTTTAATTAATTAATTTATCTCTGCACTCAGTCTTTTGTTGCTTCATGTGGGTGTTCGCTACTTGTGGAGAGCTGAGGCTATTCTTTATTGTGGAGCATGGGCTCTTGGCTTGCCAGCTTCAGTAGTTGCAGCATGCAGGCTTAGTTGCCCCATGGCATGTGAAGTCTTCCCAGACAAGGGACTGAACCCATGTCCTGCAGGAAGAGAAAGATGACTTGGGATTACTGTTTCGCATTACTGTCTTGGTATTATAATGAAATACTGGGGTAGGGGGCTTATTACATGTGACTGAGAAGAGATGAGAAATGAAAAAATAGAGGCAACATTTTGGGGCCGATTTTGAGAAATTTGAAAATAAGTGTACAGATCATTAGTTCTACTAGGACTGTGGGGATTATAGAAAAACTAATAAGACGACAGAAAGAATGTTGGAGAGTGACCAATTTTAGGATTGTAGAAAGAGGTATGAGGAAAGACAAGGTGAATGCAGCAGTGTTCTGGTGGGGGTGGGAAGAGGTGGGGTCAGAGGGATCTAATGGGCCTGAACGGAGCCATTCACAAGTACAGAAAAAAGATGTTAAAGGAGAAAGTTTGGAAAGCTTAGAAATTCAGTTCTAAGAAAACAAACAAAATTCATTCCCATTTGCTTCCTAGTGCTGTCAATGCTTGCCATCCCTTGTTGCCACATGTTGTTGGATTCTGTGCCTTATCCTTCATAAGCAATTTCCATTTTTATTAATAGAAACTGCAGTGTTGTAAAATATGATGTGATAAAGGAATTTGATCTGGTAGATAAGACCCTAGAATTTTGTCCCACTGCTGTTACTCTTAACCTTCTTGTTACTGGCTGTTAGTTTAGAGATTGGTGATCTTTTGAAATCATTACTTTACTATTTGTAATGTTTGCACATGCTCAAAACAGTACAAAAAGTGCATAAGGTGAAAGCAGTGGGGAAGTTTCCCAAAATTCCTGTGCCAGTTTGTTCAGTTTCTTGTATATTCCTGCAGTAGATTTCTAGCCATATTCAAATAGATGTATGTCAGCCCTTTTTACTTTCTGTAACAAATGGAAGATATTTTACATACCATATCTGAAGTTGTTTTTCCAGTAAATAGTGTATCTTTGACATCTTTTCACTTCAGCACACATGGGTTTATTTCATTTTTTTTTTATGTCATTTTTTTAATAGCTACATATTATTCCAGATTTAGATTCTTTGGCCCAATCTGGTGATTTTAAAGAGCCCTCTTGATTACTTTGATCATGTATTCTGTCACAGTTCTTTTTCTTTTTTTAAAAACATGGTTCTTACATGATATTTTATGTTTGGTTTTTATATTAGATATTGATATCCAGACTGACAATAATTTGACAGAAGAAATGTATGAAGAAAAATATAATACATCATATGAACTTCAGAGGAACTCTTTTCAGGAAACAGATTTTACAGAAACCTATATTCTAAAGAAACAGCAGGAGGTCCACTCAGTAGGAAGTGAAGTGAAGAAAGAAAACAGCAATGTCATTGACAGGATGGTGAAAGACAATACTAGCCCCATGGAGGAGTGTTTGTTTAGTCAGAGTCCAAATTTGAATCAGTGTCATACCATCTCCACTGGAGAGCAGCCCCCTGAGTGTACAAGACAGGAGAAAGCCTTCAGCTTTGACACAAAACTTATTCAACAGGAAATAATTAATGCTGGGGAAAGACCTTTCAAATGTGAAGAATTAATGGAAAACTTTAGCTGTAACTCTCAACTTAATCAGGGTCAAGATAGCTACACTGGGGAGAAGCCCCATCAGTATAAGGAGTGTGGCAAAGCCTTTAACATCAATGCAAAATTAATTTGGCATCAAAGACTTCACAGTGGGGAGAAGCCCTTCAAATGTGTAGAGTGCGGTAAAAGCTTCAGTTACAGTTCCCATTATATTACACATCAGACAATCCACAGTGGGGAGAAGCCCTATCAGTGTAAGGTGTGTGGAAAAGCCTTCAGTGTTAATGGGAGTCTAAGTAGGCATCAGAGAATCCATACAGGAGAGAGGCCCTATCAGTGCAAGGAGTGTGGGAACGGCTTTAGCTGCAGTTCTGCATATATCATACATCAGAGAATCCACACTGGAGAGAAACCTTATGAATGTAAAGACTGTGGAAAAGCTTTCAATGTTAATGCAAAATTAATTCAACATAAGCGGATCCACACTGGAGAGAAACCTTATGAATGTACTGAGTGTGGGAAAGGCTTCAGGTGCAGTTCCCAGCTTAGGCAGCATCAGAGCATCCACACTGGAGAGAGGCCTTTTCAGTGTAAGGAGTGTGGAAAGGCCTTTAGTAGTAATGCAAAACTCATTCAGCATCAAAGAATTCACACAGGGGAGAAACCCTATGAGTGTACTGAATGTGGAAAAGCCTTTGGTGTCAAAGGGAAATTAATCCAGCACCAGAGAATACACACGGGTGAGAAACCCTATGAGTGTAAAGAATGTGGCAAAACCTTCAGGTGTAATTCCCAGCTTCGGCAGCATCTGAGAATCCACACTGGGGAGAAGCCCTATGAGTGTAATGAGTGTGGAAAGGCCTTCAACGTTAATGCGAAATTAATGCAGCATCAGAGGATTCACACTGGGGAGAAACCCTTTGAATGTAATGAGTGCAGGAAATGCTTTACTTCTAAAAGAAACCTACTTGATCATCACCGAATCCATACTGGAGAAAAGCCCTACCAATGTAAGGAATGTGGGAAAGCGTTTAGTATCAATGCCAAACTAACTAGGCATCAGAGAATACACACTGGGGAGAAACCTTTCAAATGTATGGAATGTGAGAAAGCATTCAGCTGTAGTTCTGACTATATTGTGCATCAGAGAATCCATACTGGAGAGAAACCCTTTCAGTGTAAGGAGTGTGGAAAAGCCTTCCATGTTAATGCTCATTTAATTCGGCATCAAAGAAGCCACACTGGTGAGAAACCCTTCAGATGTGTGGAGTGTGGCAAAGGCTTCAGCTATAGTTCTGACTGTATTATACATCAGACAGTTCATACTTGGAAGAAACCCTATGTGTGTAATGTGTGTGGGAAAGCCTTCAGGTTTAGCTTCCAACTTAGTCAGCATCAGAGCATTCACAGTGAAGAAAAGTCCTCATGAAAGGAATGTAGAAAATTGTCAGTGTTAACGCTGAACTGGATCAAGTGTCCTCAGATTCACCCTAGTGGAAAACCCTGAAAGGGAAATTAATATGGCCGAGTCTTCACAGGGAAACAAATCTTTTTCATTTTATTCAGTTTTAAATCAAGAATGATGACCAGTTTTCAAATAACATCCAAAACTAAATAGTTTGGTTTATACCAACAACCAATAGGAAATATAATGAAGGAAAATATTCCATTCCCAACAGCATCAAGAACAGTCAATTTTCTGGGTATAAACTTATTATGTAGGACTTCTGTGGAGAACTTACAGATCTCCATTGAGGGCCACAGAAGGGAAGTTAAATAAATGGAAGAGAGCAGTACCTTCTTCTTAGATAGAAAAACTCTTCAACTACTTACCTAAATTAATTTATTGCCCTTTAATTTTTTACAAGAAGCATGCATCAGTTTGTAAAGAGGTGTAACAATAAAACTTTCCTTAAGGGAAAAATGAGTAAATCTTTTTATTTTCATGGAATGGAGAAAACCTTTCTAAGCATCAGATGAAAGCTAGAAACCAACCATGAGGGAAAATATTTAAATTGGCTTTTCAAAATTGAATCTTTGCTTTTGTTTTAAATAACTCCAAGTAAAAGAAGAAGCACAAAAAGTGGAAATACCTTTGTAAAATTTGTGATATTAACATGTAGTACATAATATACAAAGAGATCTTGCAGTTAAGAGAAATTCTAAAACCCAGCAAACAACAATAGCAAACAGCTTTTTTAAAAGATACAAAAGTGACTAATGAAGATGTTCAGTCTCAGGAGTACTCTAAGGAGTAAAAATTAAAAGCATACAGTCACACATAGTAAGCCCTCAAACCTCTGTCCCACATCAAGATGAACACAAGACTCTCATAGACACACAGTATACCCCACAGCACCCCCTTTCCCCACACCTGCTCCTGCACTCTCTGCAGCTCGGAAGACCAGTGTTGGCTGGGAGTACTGTCTTATGTACCTCAGAGGAACCACTCCTGGCAGAAAGCTAATGACATGGTGTAGCACCTCAGCAGAATGTCCAGGACCACTGTGTAAGTGACCTCTCCCCGCCCCCAACTCCAGCTTCTGGAAGCTGCACATGGGTGGAGGCAGACCCTGGCGGCCCCCGAACACAGGAGAGCATAGTCCTTCACCCAACCATCTTGGCCTACTCCTTTGGGCAGTTCTAGACCACACAGACCCAGAAGTGCCTCAGGCCATGGATCCATGTTCTTCATTGACTTACAGAAACACTGAACACCAGAGACAGATGGCACTGCCCCTGGTCACACGCAAATCAGTGGCCGATGTGTCCCGTTACCCAGGCCAGAGAAGAGGGTAGAAGGCCGTGGCTCACCCCACCCCTCCTAGGTCACAAATATTCTCCAGCTGGTTTCTGGATGTGACAGGAGAGATGGGGACAGGAAGTCCTGCAGTCCTGGCTCCAGGTGGAGACTTAGCACCATCTCTGCTGTGGCAGGACCAAGGCAGGGACTCTGAGGGCTGAGAAGCACTCAGGACAGAACCTATCTTCTGGATCTGCCCCAAAATCCTGTGTGAACTTGGGCTCTGGGTCTTAAGGCTATTGATCTGCAGGGTTGGGGCTGGACGTAGGGTGTAAGCCCATCTCACCCAAACGGCTCCTGAGAGTTTTCTCCCTCTCTGTAGCCTTGTTACTATCCATGGTAGGTCCTCTGCTCAGATCCCAAGGATACGAGGGTGAATAAAGCAGGTAACTGCAAAGTCTCATGAAGTCATGTGGGCCCTATGGCCCAGAAGTCCTGACACCTTGTAGCCTCCACGTTCACTACTCCAGTGAAGAGCTGCCTGGGTACAGTGTGGGCCTTCCAGAGACTAGGAAGAGCCATGGCACTGGAGACCTCGCAAAAGCACTTCTTTCTCAACAGGAGCCATGAGCCTGGAAGGGTCAGGATTAAATCAAGTGTCTCTCTTCAGTCCAGGTAAGCATGTTCCATCTCTGCAGCACAGGGCACCCTTCTGCCAAGGCCTGTCACCCTGGAAGGGACCTCAGAAAATACCTGATCCTGCCCTGTCCAGATCAGGAGGGAAAACTGAGGCTCAGAGGAAAGCATGGCTGCTGCAGGGCATCCAGCAGGTCAGGGAAGCCTGGCGAGCAGAGGCCCAATCAGGGAGGAAGGGTGTGTGCAATGGGTGGAGGCAGGGCTTCTGTGACATCTGGTCAGGGTGGGGGTGGGGGTGGGTGGGGGAAAGAGACAGCACAGCTCCCCCTGGGTGGCAGCCCTCTCCTTGTGGTGGGGCTGGGGGTTCTGAGAAGAGGCCCGTAAGATGTTCCTCTGACCTCTCCGCCTCTGACATCACCGTTCCTCACACACCATAGCCCCGCTCTGCTGTTCTTTCTCCTGACAAGGAACTGAGGACACCCCTTCCCTTACACAGTCCACTCAGTTCAACTGAACATTTGCGGGCCCATCCACAGGCCAGGGTTACCGAAGTGCCCGGGGACTCCGAGAGGAGCGAACTTTGGTCTTCTCCGCGACCTCCCTGCAGCCCCTTCCGCCTGCTCTCGGGCCCCATTCGCACCACGGACCACGTGGTCTCAGCAAATCCCACACCTCGCAGGGTTCCTGGGGCTTCCGCCCGGGGTCTGAGCCCGCTGTGCGGGGGACCGGCGTTCTCCGCCTGCTCCTGGGCTTCCCGGGCCTGAGTCCCACTCCGGCTCTGGTTTCCCACCTCTCCCCGCTCACCAGCCCCTGCCCTGCGCAGGTCGGTGCTCAAGTGTTTCCAGTGCCCCTGAAGCGTGGCCCCCCCTCCTCCCGGCCACTGAAATCCCACCCACACTCAGCCGAAGCCCAGCCTCCAGGAAGCCCTCCCAGCGGCGCGGCCGAACGCACCTTCTCGCCCCTCTCCTCGGCTCGCCAAGGTAAGGGGTCCTCCTGCCCAGGGTTTGACGCATCTGCCGGCCGTGCTGGCCGGGGCTCCGGGGCCCACCTGCTGCAGGTGGGGGCTTGGGGCTCTGGGTCCCATCCGTCCTGGGCCATAGACGTGCGGCGCTGGCAGCCGGTGGCCGCCTCCAGTGGTTGCTTCTCTTCCTGTCGCCCTTGGGCCCGCGCCTTGTCGCCCTGGGACCCTGTTTTGGCCTCGAAGTGAGACAGAGGGGAGAGGACGGGCCTGCGCGTCCAGAGCTCGGAGGCCGGCGCTTTGGGCACGAGGAGCCAGCCATTAAGACGCACAGACCGCCAGCTTGGCCCCTGCTGCCCCCGGCGGCCGGTCCGCTCACTGCAGGGCGGGAAGAAACGAACTAGGAGCGCGAGGTTGCCCGGGTTCCCTTGGTGCGGGCCGGCTCTCCCTGCTCTGGTCCTGAGGAGTCTCCCGGGCGGAGTCCTGGGGCAGCCGGTCTGAGCCCTTGACGGTAAGTCTCCTGTTGATCCGCGGAGTGGGGGTGGGGGAGGACACGATCTTAGGGACCAGGGCGCGGGGGTAGGAGTGGGGGTGGGGGGATGCTGGGATGTGTGAAGGCTCGGAGTTGGACTTTGTGCGTTCAGGACCCCGTGTCCTGCAGGTCAGTCAGCGGGACGCACAGAAGGCGTTGCAAACTTTTCTTAAGAGAAGCACAGCTTATTCCCACCCCCACCCTCAGCCCTACCACCGCATGAAATCTGACTTGAGGCCCATGGTGAACACAGTAGAGGACTGCCGTAGGACTGCGGGCTGCGCTTAGCCGCTCAGTCGTGTCTGACTCTCCCATCCCATGGACTGCAGCCCGCCAGACCGCTCCGTCCTTGGGGATGCTCCAGGCAAGAATACTGGAGTGGGTTGCCGTGCTGTCCTCCAGGGGATCTTCTCAACGCTGGGATTCAACCCTGCATTTCACTTTTCCTGATGGAATGATCTCTTACCTCCCAAGGGACCCACGAGGTGGGTTCTTTACTATCTGAGCCACTTAAATGGAACTGCTGTAGGACTTGGAGGAGGGGGCAGTCCCAGGCCCCGGGAATGAGGGGCAGGGGCTTTGCTTAAACGTGCCTTGGGAGGTAAGAGGTCATTCCATCAGGAACAGTGAAATGCAGAACTGAGAACACAGGCTTCCAGTAGCCAGGCCGTGGGGGTGAGATGGGTAGGAAGAACCTACAAGATGGGGGAGGTGGGACCCTCCACCGTGCTCTTGTGGGAAGGGCTCAAAGTAAGGAGTGGTGAGTTGGAGGCTCCTCACGACAGGAAGTGAGGGAAAGAAAGGAAGTGCAGGGACCCAGGGAACTGTGAGGAGTGTCCCTTACCTGGAGAACTCTTCCCCTTCCCCTTCACACAGCTCAGCCAAAGGCCACCTCCCCTCTGCTGGCTTCCCTGATCTCCTTGGTTGGTTAGCAGTATGTCCCCTGTTCTGGGTCCTCATCTCACCTCCGTCTAATTGATATCATTTTCTGCCTTCTCTACTTGGAGCTGCTGGTTTACTGACTCGCCTTGTGGACCACAAGCTCCTTGTGGGTGACTCATTGGGTGAGGCCAGAACTTCAGTTCAGTTTAGTCACCCAGTCATGTCTCACTCTTTGTGACCCCCATGGACTGCAGCACACCAGGCTTCCCTTTCCATCACCACCTCCTGGAACTTACTCAAACTCATGTCCATTGAGTTGGTGATGCCATCCAACCATCTCATCCTCTGTCGTCCCCTTCTCCTTCTGCCTTCAGTCTTTCCCAGCATCAGGGTCTTTTCCAATGAATCAGTTCTGCACATCATGTGGCCAAAGTTTCAGCTTCAGCATCAGTCCTTCCAATGATATTCAGGACTGATTTCCTTTAGGATGACCGGTTGGATCTCCTTGCAGTCCAAGGGACTCTCAAGAGTCTTCTCCAACACCACAGTTTCAACACCACCTCCAGCATTCACAGGCTGGGTGGAACTTGCCTGTGAATAATTTCTGTTGAGTGGATGATGTCAACGAATTCGTAAGGGAAGAAGTGTTTTGTGCCTGTGTTTATATGGTTTATACAT